CACACACACACACACACACACACACACACACACACACACACACACACACCAAGAGAACCCTCCGAGGAATTCAGGCTGGCATCCGGACCTGCTCAGACTCACTGTGTGGACCAAGTCCAGCTCTCCGACTGACTCTGATTATGTGCTCTGCTCCCTCGCTGTGCTGWCAGGGGTTTTGTTTTGGGACTTCGCTCCCACAATGCATTTGTTTTTAAGGGTTTGGTTGTTTTCCAGGAGYCCACACTGCCCATCTGCCTGATGGTACTGGTCCCACACTGCGGTCCATCCAGTCTGTGTGTGAATGTATGGACTGAAASTCACACCTGCTGGGCACCAAATGTTGGGTTGACCATCTGAGGACAAATGTTTCAACAAACATGTCCAACCAACAAAACAATGAAACAACTAAAGATCTGATAAGTCTTTTAAAAAGGTTCTCACACTTATAGAAACACAGATATTAAGAACCTTTTTTCTATTAAAGAATGTAAAACCTATTCTTAAAACTCTTAAAGTTAATGAGTTAATATTTAGTTGCTGAGCTAATTTAAGTAAATTATTTTGATAATTGGTGTTTTCTTCTTTTCTTGTTCCATAAAATCGTGTTGATTTAAACAAATCAGATCTCTGACAGCCGGCAGAAACATTTCTTTATAAATGAAGTCAGGCTGCACAGGTCTCTTCTAAAAGCTGGTGAGAAGACAAACGATTATCAAATTGTTCCCATCTGACTTCAGCTTTGGTTTCGGTAAATAAGCAGTGTTAGTGCAATCAGTTTGATCTAACAGGACGCAGCTGCACTACAACAAACCTCAGGTCTGGGGTCAGTAAAGCCGAACCGAAAGTCCAAGAAGTTCCTGAGTACTGCTTCGTAGATTTGAAGACACAATAGAAAACCATTTGATTTTGCCAAACTTCGAAAATACGTAAATTCAGCCTCAGATTATAGAAAAACTATTTTCAGGCCTTTCTTTTGAATTTTACTCGAGTTCACTGAAGTTTGCAGACATTTGTTTTTTCCTCCATAGAGATTCAGTCACCAATGAATTTCTCCGGAGTGCCCAGAGAAAACCCACACATGCATGGAGAGAATAACCCATGTTTGTTTGTATTGTCTTTCTTTGAAGGGGTTGTCCTGAACTCTATTTTCATTGTGCTTAAAGGGATCCATGATTAGTTGTAACATTAGACTTTATTTGATAAACAWATGTTTTAACTGTAGAATAAAGACWGTAAAAATACKGTAGGATGTTTAGTTTTTATAATTTTTAAACKAAAAGTTWAAAAATGTATTACACGGACGGGAGTGTTTTTTATATAACGGCACGGAGACGGAAAATAAAAAAGAAAAGGAGAATTTCTGTAGAAGCAGTATGTTTTGTTTTTAACTCATATCTGCACATTAGCTTAGTTTTATTTGGGAAAAAAAGTGTAAAACATCAAACACTGTTGTTCCTAAAGTTGTTACCTCAGATTAAGTCCTAATGAGGATTAGACAATCTGGTTTTATTTTAATACATCATCCTGGTGAGTAAAACCTCAGAGGAAAGTAATACTTCTGTATTCTAGTAATTTTCAAAGCTAATATTAGACAAAATGAGGAAAAAGATAAATTTGTGTAAATAGGTTAAGTTTTTTTTTTTTTATTAAAAAAAGGTTTAGAAGCAGCTGAAGGGGATATCTGAGTTTGTTTTTCCAGATGTGTTGCTTCTGATCCACACCACACTACTGCCATCTACTGCAGGAAGTCTGATCCAGGAATAAACACCAACTTTCTACACAGTGTCCTTTTGTTTATTGATTATATTAAATCAGAAAGATAAGCACTAAAACATATGTTACAAACCAATAAACTTTTATACTTTGAGGGAAAACTCAAAAAAGACTTAAAAAAGTAACACTAAAGGGCAGAGACAATTTTTAAATAACAGAACTGTACATGTTTATAGGGAAAACAAAAGAAAACTAACGAATAAAGAGAGGAAAAAGTCGACAGTGACACCAGGTGACAGAACCACAGGCAGCTCAAACAGAGCCGAAGAGAAAGAGAAGGAACTTTTGCAGAGAACTGCTGGATTACAGCAACACAAAGTAAGGCAGCAGAAGGCGTTTAGACAGCAGGAAAACAGGCTGGGACTCAGGGAGGAAAATCAAACCCAACTTATAAACAGCAAAATGACACAAAAATACATCTCCATTAGTCTGCTAGTATGAAAAAGATAAACATCAACAGCTGAGAGTCGACATAAACACTTAGAAAACAACCTAACGATTCCCRCTCTAGAGCTGAATTAACAAATATTGACACTGAATCTGTCATGCACAGAAAGACCCCACGAGCTGCACAGAGACCCTTCCTGACTCCATCTGCAGAGACTCAGCTGACACAGCTCAGTGGACTCATGTCACATTTTGATTTCTAGCTAATTTGATCCCTCACATTGTGTAGAATACTACAAATAAAACAAGTGTAGACTGCATAAACTGCTCCTGTTCAACAGGTTTCATTCTGGAAAGTTGCATAGGTTTAAAAAAGAAGTGTTTTTCCAGTAAAGTGACACTAGGGGGCACTCAATGCCCAACATGGCTGAGCTGTTATATAACCCACTGCAGATCTTTACAAAAACTCAGAACCAAGAAAGAAAAAAATGTTTTTTTCATACATTATTAAAACTGAATGTATATTAAATGGGATTTAAAATGTGTGTAAACACACTAACACACACAGTTTCTTCATAATGGCTTCATATATCTTTGGGTTGTCAGGTAAAAAGTGTAAAAATCTCAGTCTACACAAGGTGAACCAATTAGTGCAAAAAGAAGGTTAAGTGCAGTTGTACATGATGTCCACAGCGTCCTGGTCAGCTGTGATGTCTCGCCCCACCTGTGCAGCCGCGGGGGGCTTCACTCCACTTCAGATACAAAAACAAACAGATGCAAACAGGTGTGGTACAAACATCGAGCCACAGTAGCACAGAGCATGCCCTTTTTCACAATTAGGTTCAAAGTACAGTACAAGTGCCATTACAAGTCAGTACAAAACAAACAAAACCATCGTATGCAATAAAAGTACATCTGAGGATTAAAAGGAAAATGTAAAAAAAAGAAAAAGTGGGGTTCAGATGTTCCAGGTGTTGCCTGAGATCTGCCTGAAAGCAAAGTCCATGTTCATCCAAAATATAGCATTTATTCAATAAATCGTAGATTTCTGTTTTTAAGCTGGAAATTCAAAATATTAGTTGTTAACTTAATACAATCTCATCTTTGTAAACGGTTTGCCCTTTTTGTCTTCGAAAACACAATGATCTTAGGCTTACAGAGGAATATTTACATTTAGAATAAAAATCTGTGGCAAACATTTAAAAAGTATGGTTTGAAACTCGAGACGCCTCTCCTCCTCCTTCTCCTCCTCCAGGAGCCAGGACTGGGCTTTGAGCTGGACTGCTGGACGCTCTGCTGCAGCTTTGCTCTGAGCGCCTTCATGAGAGCGGCGAGGACCGTAAACTATGTGCTGGCATTTCTGCTGCTCTGCTGCAGGGTGATGGGGTTGCTATGGTGTGTAACCATGGTTATGGTGTTTCCATAGCTTCGGGAGAGGAGGGGGGGGTGATGACAGAAAAACACAGGACTCTGGATCGCCTCTCGTTTGTTTGTTTGTTTGTTTTAGTTTTTGGTTTTAGAGGAGAGAAGCAAAGACTCTGCTGGAGCTGAGCAGGTTTTAAACACACGACTGCATCGCTTCAAACAACCTCATGCATCAGTGAAGCTGGAGCAAAGCAGGTGTAAACAGTGTGTCCTCACAAGTCTGCATATGAAAAGCTTTCTGCTCGTGTCCTTCACAGTTTAAGAACTTTGGGGAGGTGTGTGTGTGTGTGTGTGGGGGGGGGGGGGGGGGTGCACGGCGGCGCTGGTCTGCATGCATTTTCAGATTTGTACACGTTTACACTGCAGATCCGTGTGTGTGTGTGTGTGTGTGTGTGTGTGTGCTGTCTGGAAAGGTGCAGAGCTCATCACATTCAGAGTCTGTCACTGCGGAAAGAATCCTCCACGGACGGGTCGGGCAGCACCATGTCGGGGTCACTGAGCATGCTCAGTCCGTCCAGGCTGAGAGGCTCGATGCGCAGCTCGTCCTCCAGCGGGAAGCCTCCCTCCGAGTCAAAACACTCGGGCACCGTGGAGAGGGCGCTGCTGATGTCCTTCGACAGGCTCGGGTTGGACTCATCTGAGACACAAACAACACACGGTGGTGGGTGAAAGTTTCCTCCGGCGCAGAAAACGCTTCCTCTTTACGTCGCTGCGCTCATTAGGCAGGACTGTTTTTAACTCTGACTGTTTTTAACTCTGACTGTTTTTACCTCTGTCCGACTGTTTTTACCTCTATCCGACTGTTTTTTACCTCTGTCTGACTGTTTTTAACCTCTGTCTGACTGTTTTTACCTCTGTCTGACTGTTTTTACCTCT